CTTAGCACAGCTGACACAACGTTGTAGGCACCATTCTGACCCTAGAACCCAGCAAGTAGGTCCCAACACCTGCTAAAATGGCAACAAAGACCTAATCCTTAAAGACATAGTCAATAGTTCCAGGATCCAGAATCTAAATGTACTAGTCTTGCCTTTGGCTTCTATAGTTCTGCTTCTTGCTAACTAAATTATGTCAACTCAGGAGATAGTTTTTGTGCTTAGAAGATCAGAGGCAGTGAGTCTTGGGGCTGCATCATTTGTGCAAGTTTCCCATGCAGCTGCTGGCCAAAAATGAAGACTTTCTATTCAACTTTGAGTGTCCATGTGTGCTCTTTGTTAGAAATACCACAGAACAGAATCACAGTGGAGACTCTTCAAAAAATTAAAAATGAATCTACTACATGACCCAGTTATACCACTCATGGGTATATACACAAAGCATTTCAGTTCTTTATATTAGAGGCATATTTGCACATCATTATTGATTGCAGCATACTTAAACTAGTCAGGCTTCCTTAGAGGAACAGAACTGATAGAATCTGTTCATCTATGTATATATAGAAAGATGATTTATTAAAGTGGCTTATAGGCCATCATCTACCTATTCCAATAATGGCTGTCTACCATCAAAATGTCAAGAGTAGAGTAATTGTTCACACCATGAGGATAGACATCTCAGCTGGTCTTCGGTATACTCTGGAATTCCGAAGAAGTAGGCTCTAATCCCAGTGAAGGAATGGACATGCTAGCAAGAGTAAGGGCCAGCCAGCAAAGAGCAAAGGGCTTCCTTCTTCCTTACCCTTTATATGGCTGCCACCTGAGGGTGTGGTCAAAGTTAAAGACAGAACTTCCCATTTCAAAAGAGCTGGATTAAATTGGGTATTTCTACTTCAAATGATTTAATTTTTTAATTAAGAAAGATCCCTTACAGGTGTACCCAATCAATTGGGTTTTAGTTAATTCCACATGTGTTCAGGTTGACGCCAACAGTAGCCATTGCAACAGTACACAGTAGCTACATTAGGAAAAATGCCTGGGTGTCAGCAACAGAGAAAGGTATAAAGAAAAGGTGATGTATCAGCATAATGGAAAATTACTGATTCATAAAAGAATGGAAATTATGTTTTTTTGCAGGAAAAAATTCAGTGGAGATAATCATATAAATTAGCCAGGTTCTGTAAACTATCCATGTTTTCTTTCATATATGGTTCCAGATTATATTTGCATAAATGAAATCCTGTATGCATATGTTTCATGAAGTTAAAGACAAAGCTCTGTAGCAGAAAATGATGACTAAGCACTGTGGGGAGAGATGAGAAACGGGCACACTGTGGTAACAAGGAGTGCGCTCAGTGTTTAGTATGTGCTTCAAGACATACCATGTCCAGTGAATGACGTCACAAGGAGAAGGATTTTAATACCACTATAGCTTTTTATTAATTGATCTGAGATTAAATACATATTTTGTGAGCTTTATTTCATATAGAATATGATACTGCAATTAGAAAACATAAGTGTTAAATTATCAGAGAGAAATATTTAACCATTCATTACTCACAAATAAAATAACAGACTTAAGATTTTTAGAGAATTTTACTAAGTACTCAAATATGTGAGAATAAAAATATTTTATATATCCATCTATATCTACATGTCATCTATACGCCTCTACTTGTGCTAATGCATCAATATATTCACATGAGTCTTCAAAACCTATGTAAGCATGTGTTTTGGTACTTATATCTCTTCTTAGTCACATTGAACAGCACTTTATTCTGAAAACCTGGCTAGCTCTTACATTGCATAGCCATAATATTTTGAAATTTCCATATCCTTCTCCCTCTGAAGGAAAAACTGCAGTTTTCCCAGAGAGGTGTACTTGGCAGCATTCTCTCGCTCCTGCTGAGCCCGCCTCTTCATGGCTTCCCTCTCTGGCCTCTGCTCTTCAGTGATTGGCTGTGAGATTACTGGCCCTGGAATGTCCACTTTCCTCCATGGAATGGGTTGGCAACTGAAGTCTAGCAGCAGGTATTGGGTTTTAGCTTTGGGAGATGACAGGGCCTTGTTCCTGGCAGCAGAAAGAGGCTCCCTGTGGAGTGAAGTGTGAGATGATGCTCTGTAGGGTGCAGGCCTAGAGGCAGCCGGCTGAGGCTCAGTGAAAGACTGGATGGGCTTGGTCACATTAGGTCGTGTGGCGTTTGGCAGAGCTGGCTTATCAGAGGCCATCAACGATGTGCTGGCAGGAGCTGGTTGGGATGACTTGAGTGTGGGAGGCTGAGCTGAACGGGAATGAGGTCTCACTGGGTAAGCACTGGGCCTGCGTGAAGCCAGGCAGAGAAGCTTTCTAGAAACAGGTTTGGTTTGAGGCTTGTCCAGGACTGGGAAAGGCAGAGGTACTAACTTGACCTTCCCAGGTGGGGGCAACTCATACTGAGATGGAGATGGATACTCCTTCTGAGCAATGCTCCCTGGTCTCTGAATCTTGCCCAGGCTTTTGTCAAGGGTTTGGCCCTCACGTGGCATATCCAGCAGTGATGTGGTATCTGGGCCTGTCCTGGGATCTTTGTTGCTGCTGAAGTTTAGCAGAGCCCGGGAGGAGGAGATGCCAGTTTTCTTCTCACTCTTCTTCCCCAGTGGGTGAAAGACCTGCACGGACTCCAGCATGTGCATGCCGAGGTGAGTGCGAGGCTTCTTAAAGCTGTCATGGCTGAGCTCAGGTGGATTCCTCTTCCTCTTGGTCTTTGGGATGGTGGACTTTTCTTCTGCCTTGACTCTGTGATTTGATGGCTTTAGCTCCTCTGTTTTCTTGGAGTTGTTTTCTCTAGTCTTCTTGGCCTTGTCTTGCCCATGTGCCCTAGCTCTGCTGCACTTGCTGGGTGTGACTTTCTGAGCTTTGCCCTCCATGTGGTTGGCCATGTTGTCGAAAGCCCCTTCACTGAACCCAGCACTGCCCACAGCCTCTTCTCCCTCTCCCAGTCTCTGGAGCTGGTTTCTGGCTTGAGGAGCTCCATCAGGCAACTCAAAGACTTTCTGGTCATTCTTTCTCACTTGGTCTGAGGGTACACTGATGACGCTGGAGCTCTCCAGGGCCTGATCTCTCCTGATGACTGTGGAGTCTTTGGATTGAGTTGCTCTGGGATCTTGGAATTGATTTAGTTCTGTGAGGGAGTTGAAGAGTTGGGGAAGGTGAATATCTGCCACGAGTGCAGTCATCTCTGCAAAGTCCATGTTGGAGTCCACCACACTCTGAAGCACCCCAGGCTCTTCCTGCCCTAGGCTGCTGTTTCCCAAGGTGGCATTGTCAACAAGGTCCTGCTGTAGGCTTTCAGCATCAGTGTATTTCAGGGTCTGCTGCATGTCGGGGTGCGCTAAAGGTAGGAGTGCTGGGTCTTGGTTTTCTTTTGTGCCCTCATAGGTATCCAGAGGCGTTGATATATCGGCTCTCTTGAAATCCAAGTTGTTATTTTCTGTTTGTTCCGGGCTTGGAGCTGGAGGCAAGGGCAGGAATTCTGAAGGACTGTGGATGGGGGCAGTTAATGACCTGTCCTCACTGACAGGTGGTGTCCTCATTCGGGTATCATGGGTGCAGGCATTGCTAAGGTCAGGACTCTGCAGCAAACAGAATGTCTGACCTGAAGGTGTCAATTCTAGGGGCGTCTCCATTTCCACCTCTGAAAAAGAGTCAAGTAAGAAGTCAGTGCCTGGTAAGTGAGATGCTCCCCTCCTGTTCCCCTCCTTTCAGTGCTCCTCAGTACTCAGCCCCTTCAGCAGTGGGAAGGCATTCCTATGAGCTCTGCTTGAATAGCAAGGGGCAGCACCTCTACTGGGAGACTCGTGGTGACTGCTCTGTTCTTTTTGGTGATAACTCAATGTCATGTTTTCACAGATGATTGTGTGTTCCTTTGTGTTTGTGTGGTGTGTGCATGTGTCTTCACCATGGGGAGGTTACAGAATTCCCTTAGTGTGTGCTCCTCTCTTGCTTTACCCTCTGTCTTTGGAAGTATACCCCTCATTTTCTTGAAAGTTTGTTATTAGGCAGGTTGTCTGGTCCATCATTTTTAAGAACTTATCCATCTCTTCCAACTTCTTTCAGTTTTTGGCATTATTTAAATACCCCCAGAATCTTGGCTTTTTATGTGGCTTTAGGTATCCAAACCAAGTTCCTCACTCCTGTAAGGCAAGCAGTTCAAGAGCCCAGAATGTTCTCCAGTCCAAAATTTCACAGTCTTGTTATTAGTGACATAAAAATTGGTTTAAGAAAGTAAAATCAGCCAGGGAGTGGTGGCACACATCTTTCATCTCAGCACTTGGGAGGCAGAGGTAGTCAGATCTCTGCATTCGATGCCAGCCTGGTCTACAAAGCAAGCTCCAGGACAGTCAGGGTGGAATAGAGAAACCCTGTCTCAAAAAACAAAGCAAAAGAGAAAAAACAAACAAAATGGTAAAATCTTTGGGCTTGTGTGTGACTGTGTTGTAGAAAACATGTCCTAGTGATCATGGTCTTTGCTCCTGAGAGAGAAAGAGAGAGAGGGAACAGGGAGGGGAGAGAGAGAGAGAGAGAGAGAGAGAGAGAGAGAGAGAGAGAGAGAG